TAAAAATGACGGTTTACAAGATGGAAATTTCTTACCTAGCAGATCTTCGAAAATATATCTACAGCGACGCTCATCAGTGTGATGGAAGCAAAGTGGGCACCATTCAAACTTCGTAGCTATTAATGGATGTGGATATTCCCACTGATGCTTTCCGTTTTCACAGGACCAGAGATATACATCAAAATTATTTATTTGACCAGTTTTCATAATACTGCGTGTGCTTTGGCCCTTTTATTAACAATACGAACGAAATTAACAGACCTGGAACGAGTATTTTCTTCCAATATACTCTGAGGCGGATACTGAAGCGTATCAATATTCACATATAGGAGTTTCTCTCTCACAAATCCACGCTTTGGAGCATATTCATCGTCATCATCTCCGAGATAATATAAAACTGGTTCATTCTTCATTACAACAATTTTTCGAATTTATGTAAAGAAGGGCTCCAAATTTCATCTGTGGCTCTTTTTTGAGTTTCCATGCCACCTTCCCATTCGGCGTTAGCAAGTAAATATCGAACAGTGTCACCTTTATTCAACTTCTCTTCGTCTTTACCAACTGAACGTTTGTATTTTGTAGATGGCCTAGATTCTACCCTATCCAATCTAATTGCTTTTATAGGCGCTAATCCCCATTGCTTTGAGCCTGGTGCTCGTATAAGTCGTGTTGGATAATTATTCAGATATTGGTAAATGCTTAACCCATGCCCTTATTAATTTAGGATTTCTGGATATTCAACGGCGGATTGAACTTTGTACAACATCTCTTCTAATGTCTTACAAAACCTGTCTACGATTGCAAGACCTCGATGACTATATGCACCAATCAATCTAATCGTTACATTATGTTCTTCCATTATTTTACTTGTCTCACCCATAAATTCACGACCTTGGTCGCATTGTAAAAGTATTGGCCATACGAGTGGATTTGATGGATCATTATAAATTTTTTTGAAGGCTTTGGCAACCTCTGAGCTATTTTTCGATGTAAGAGGAACAGCGTATTTAAAACGTGATGCAACGTCTATGACAGTAAGTGCCCATTTATATGTTCTTTTTATTAATAATATCATTCGTAAGGCGCAACAAATCACACATATGTACGCAGTTTGGACGTGAAATTTTTCCATAACTTACCCGTGGAGTATTTTTCGGCGACGGAGCGTACTTTTGCCATTCATTCTGATTATGCAACCATTCACGAACTTTTTTATATGGGAAATTATATCCTTTTTTTTTACATGCGTCTCTTAAAGCTTTTGCATTGGAATGATAACCAGACGGAGTATAATAAAGCATACTCAGGACAATTTGTAATTCCTCATCTGGATCAATTTTAATAATAGGCTTGCTCAATTTATGCGAAGCATGGTCTAAGGACCTACTCATTTTTGATATATTTTACTATAATAATAAATTATGACTCAGCAAAGTCGAGAGATAAGTTAAGGGACAAAATCTCCTTTTTATGAATGCCATATTATACTGTAAAAATAGCTATGACATTTCGTCGATCACATCCCAATCAAATATTTCGTAAGCCAGCGTCTAATCGGGAATTGGAACTGGAGCAGGTAAATCAAGCTTTGAGAGATGAATTATCTAACGAAATTTCAATCAATAAATCGAATGAAAAATATATAAAGGATCTGGAGCATAAATATATCAGATGTGAGAAAGAAATCCAATCTCTCAAGAAAGAACTGGAACGGCTTGAAAATGTTTCAGAGGAAGAAAAGGCGGAGTTGAGATCGGAAATATCATTCCTTAGAAAAAGCTTATATCAAGCTAAAAAGGAGGTCCGAGACAAGATATCTTATATCGATAATATAGAGAAACAATTACAAG